AATGGTTGACTTGAAGGTTTTTTCAGCTCATCTCTAGTTTGAGACAAGGGCATTCTCATTCACCCCATCTTTTTAGCATTATGAGTAATGCTCTTTCTTCTTCTATTGAAATGGCTAGCTAGACATGAAAGCAACTTTTATGGCATTAGCATAGGCTAGGTAAACATCACTCACCTTTTATGCGTGAACGATCTCATAGTTTTTGGTAGAGCCAATAGTCAGAACATGATGTATCTCACAAATATTTCAAGCTCATTTGGAATGATGTCTGGACTCAAAATTAACTCTCTCAAGAGCTCCATTATGTTTTATAAGAATGGCATTAATCATGATGTCTTATGTGACATACTCAACCTCCCTAGTGAAATTGCTTCCTTCTCTTATTTTTTCATTCCCATTTCTGTCAAAATGATTCATATTTCTAATTTTCAAAGATTTTTTAGCAAGGCCCTCACTTTTGGATGGTTGGAGGAGCAAAACTTTATCTATGGCTAGAAGGTTACAATCCATTAAATGAATTATGTCCAATATGATTGCTTATTAGATCAGAGGGTCAATTCTTCCTTAATGATGCATCAAATATATAAACAAAATTCGATTAGGGCTCCTTTTTCATGGGGACATTAATGCAAAAAAGCTCCACTTTATTTACTGGAATAACACTTGAAAACTCTTTCTATAAGCTTTCCTTGGCATATCTTCTATTCATAATCTTATTCATGCTCATGTTTATAACTATGCGACCATTTGCCATAGCAATTCTAAAAACTCTCTACTAATTAATTTTTGTAAATAAAAATATTACTCCTTTTGATTCTTAAGCATTCAATGCCGGAAAGGTTTAAGCCAAATAGCTAGTATGGTAGTTGATTCTAGGGAGCTCAAAGTTATTGAAGGTAGCAATTTATCTTTTATGTGAAATCCTTAGTTAAAAGGAAAATTTCTCTACCCTAGAAGGTGGCTCTTATATCTTGTCTGTCATTAGGTCTAATGCTACAATTTCAGATTTTATGCTAAATGGGGTGTAGGAGTAGGGGTGTCAATTCGGGTCATCCCGTCATGTTCGGTCGAACCCGACCCGACCCGAATCTAAACGGGTCAACCCGAATCCGACCTGTTTTTGGTAACGTGTCGGACAACTCAACCCGGACCCGACCCAACCGGTTTGCCGGGTTGACCCGACCCGACCCGATTAGTAAACGCGAGCGGCGGGATCGGCGGCGGCAGACGCTGGCACGCGAGCGTTTTCTGAAGCGGGCTCGGCGGTGGTCCCGTCGCACCGCGGCGAAGCGACTGAACTAAGGCGGGCTCGGCGGCTGCCGGCGCTGGCACATGAGCGTTTTCCGAAGCGGGCAGCCGGGCAGTCGAAGCGGGAAACGCCAGCTTGCAGCCTTTCACGCGAACCGCGAGGTCCGCAAAGCCGAAGCGGGCAACGCCAGCTTGCACACGATTCCCGAACTGCGATGCGACGGGACTTGACGTGTCGGGCAGCCGGGCAGTCGAAGCGGGCAGACCGGGTAGAGGATTTCCGGGTCAAATACAGGTCATTTTCGGGTTGCCGGGTCAACCCGAACCCGACACGTTTTTTGAAACGGGTCAGTTTATTGAACCCGAACCCAACCCGTTTCATAAACGGGTTGACCCGAACCCGGATTTTTCCAGGTCGGGTTCAGGTCGAGTTTCGGGTCGTGTCAAAAATTGACACCCCTATGTAGGAGCTTCCCCTTACCTGTCCTGATAATATTAAGCAGCTTATTTACTCTATCCCTATTCATCAAGTAGGCATTCAATACTGAAAGTATTGGGTTATTTTTGAACTCAAGCCCTTTTAATTGGTAGTCAAAGTTCTCAATTAACATGACAAGTTGGGTTATTATTACTCCATCGGGCTTAGCTGGGTTGGTAGGTGAGCATGGTTGGGAACCCCCAACCCATATTCGATACATCTCTCATGCGGCATGACTCCTTAATTTGAGATAAAATAAGTACTTTGTTCGGCACCTGTGGGGCTAGTTGCCTCTAGGCCCACCGAGGATTTAGTTACTTGGCCAAACGCCTCCTCTACGGAGGTGGCAGTACGTAGATATCTCTGTTTAAAAAAAAAAAAAAAAAAAAAAAAAGAATTAAAAAAAAAAAGAGTATTGGTTTATTCCCCAACTCTCTTTGAGCATTATTGTTCTATGCTGGAGCTCCTTTACTTATATGAGTTGTTGTATTTGGGCCTTGACCCTTTGTAATTATTTTATTGCTTAATGGAAATAGGCTTAAAAGAACCCTGGAAAAGCTCAAGCTTCATTCTTCTTGACCAATGGCGCGTAAGTAATATGAAAGGAACCTTCCTATTTCCTTCTTTCCATGAGTGTTAACTTTTCATGTTTCCTCTTCCTCAAGAAAGGCTTAGCCATCTCGTGTAGAAGATTAACAATAAATATGAACTTAAGAAGTAATCTATGACTAACTTTTTTACTCTTTTTAAATAATTCAACTCCATAGGCGCGATAATATGTAGTGGCTGATTTGGGTTGTGATTTCCGCTGATTTCAGTTGCGCATTCCGACTCATTTATTGAACGGGTCGGGTTTGAGCTGACCTGTCAACCTGATTTTGACCCAAAAATGACTCGTTTAATATTTTTCTTTAATTATTTTATTTATTGATATAATCTTCTTAATTATTGTCAATTAGCCTAAAATCTATGTTTAACAAGTTATTAAATTTATTTTTTTTTAAATTAGATTGTCAGCTGGTCTATTTTGAGTTTAACTTCTTGACCTGTCTATTAAATAGATTAGACTCAGATTGGTCAAAGTCCAATCAGGTCAATATTGAATCTGATCCGAGCCCGACCCATTCCCTAGGTGATGGAAATTTTAATTATATATATCTTATAATATACATATTTAAATATTTTTTAGATAAGGCCGAATTTTTTTTAATTGAATTATTCTAATTTGGGACAAAAATATCACTTTTATATACTTAATTATGTGATAATTAAGATCAAATTAAGCAATCCTATCCTGCCAACAATTTCATCTTTCATTGCAGTGCATTTTCTCTTTCAAGAATTTTTATTTTCTTAATTTGAGATTTCTCCTCATTACAAATCTTATGCTTTATCTCCTCTTTAAAGCATGAGAGAAGTACAATTTGAAAAGTTTACATGCTCTATATTATGATTGATTGTAATTATAGGTTTTTAGATAAATTTTTTATTGCTTTTTAAAATAGCTTTTTAATAAAAAATTTCTAATTTAAATTTTTTTTGTCTTAAAAATTGTTTTAAGAAAGTGAGAAACTTTTATTAGGTCCGGTGTAAGGACGTAGAGGAACGTCCGTTCGGAGGCAAAATCCCGCCAAAAAACTCAGTATTTGCTCGGTATTGCTATGTATTATTTGATAATAACGATGAATAACGCTCTGTGAAGATCAATACCGAGTTATACCGAGCAATACCGAGTTGTACCGAGTTTTTTCTAGGAAAAACCCGGTACAACTTTTGTATAACTCGGTATTGCTCGGTATTGTTCGGTATAAATCGGTATTGGGTCTTCACGTGATTGTATTCCTCGTTATTGTTTGGTATTGCTCGGTATTTACTCGGTATTTCTCATTTTTTGGTGTCATTTAGCCTTCGACAGGACGTTCGGTCGGAGGACGTAATAATTGTTCCAGGATAAGAGGGCTTTACCCACATGGCTCATAACTCAAATATGTTATAAGTAGGGAGATATCTTGTCAAAGCAGTGACCACAAACCATATGCGACAGAATAAATTCTAAGTGAGATATCTTAGTGTTGATGCACTATCTGGACATCTTCAATCGAACGCCATAAATCTCTTTGGAGTTCTAGCAAGCATCCAACTAAATGACAAATAAAACACATTTTTTGTGTTTTATTTTGATTGTGAATAGTGCAACGATAATATTTAGTGTTGCACTATTCACAAAAACCTAATTTATTTTTTAGAGGTGAGAAGAAAAAGACACATAATAGTTTTTCTAGTGTTAGAAATGAAATTCGGTCGAAGATAAATTATATTTTAATATGACTATTACTTTATTTTTAAAGTGAAAAATAATTTGTTTGGTTTGAGTGTCCTCAGATATTGATAAATTCAAGCCCTTGCTTAGATAAGGGTGTCAAAACGGTTTCACGGGTCGGGTTCTGGTCAAACTCAAATTGACCTAGGCTTAAATGTGTTGACCCTAACCTGACCCATTTTTGAAAACGGGTCAGGAAACCCAACCAAGACCCAACCCGTGCAGGTTACTGGGCTGACCCAACCCGACCCGACCCACGAAATGTGCACAATCGTTGAATCGTGTGCGTGCGGGTGGAGCCTAGCAGAGCGTGGGCCACCTGGCATGGTCGGGCCTAGGGCCGTTGCAGGTGCGAGCCGTGCGGCTAGGCCAGATGACAACAACAGTCGTTTTCATTCTCAATAAAAGATGCTGCGGTGGGAGTTGCAAAAGGCGACGCGGTCTGACGGATATGAGCTGGTGGAAGAGGCGGCGACTAGTGGGTTTGGTGTTTTGGGAGGAAGCCTTGGGATTAGAGGTAGGCGACGCATGGCGGAGATGGGAGATCTCTCGGTACAGGCGTACCGCGTACAATGATATGCATGGTTAAACGGGTCAAACCAGATAATTTTTTAGTTTTCGAATCAACCTGAACCTAACCTGGGTTTTGAAACAGGTCGACTTGTCGAACCAGAACACGACCTGTATGTCAAACGGGTTGACCCAAACCCCGAATTCTCCGGGTTGAATTTTGGGTTGTGTCAAATATTAGCACCCCTACTCTTAGGAAAGAGAAATGTTATCCTCAATCATTTAACAAAAAGTACATCTATCACCAAGAAATTAAGAAAACCAAAGTAAAAGTCTTCAATTCAAACATATGATAGATAAATGTTATGTACACAAGAAAATAGCAGAACTGGTGATCATAAGAGATCATCAATAACACAAAATGGTGACTCAAAAAATAGGAAGTAAAAGAATAACTAAATGACTAGTCAATGAATACTTTTACAAAGAATTCTAAGTAATTCCACATATTACTTTACACGAAAATAGCTCTGTAAGAATGATTTCTAAACAAAGCCTATCAGCGGAGCAGGAGAGACCTCAGCCGTGATGGGAAGGCGCGGCCTCTTAGACGGAAGAGGGCTTTGCACCTCCTCCTCCTCCTCCTCCAGACCCCAATATCGCCTTCCAATCTCGAATCCGAACTCCATCACCGGCGGCAGATTCAAATCAAATCCACGCGTTCCAGCGCTGCCCGTCTCTGACGACGCGGCCGCTGCCGATCCCGCGCCGGCAGCGCTTCCTATGGTGCCGTCGTAGTGGCACCGTTTGTGCCCGCCCAACGCCTGCCCTGTTGCGAATGTCTTGAGGCAGATCAGACACTGATGCCCCTTGTGATCTCCATCGGATGACAACGACGAAACCGCCGGTGATCCGGCGAAGAGGTGGTTGTCGCCGGAATGAACAGGGACAGGTTTCCGGTGGCTGGTCTTGTGGCCGCCGAGGGCTTGGTAAGACGAAAACGCCTTGCCGCAGACGGAACATTTGTAATCGAGATTTGGGGACGGGATCTGAGAAAACGTGTAGGATCTGTCACGGGCGAGCGTGAGGAGGCAGAGGGCGAGGTATTCCTCTTCGGATTGAGAACGATCCAATACTCGGGATTGGCGATTCGAGCGCTTTCGCTTAATCCAGCCTTCCATGGGGAAACGGGACTCGTCGGAGATCGTATGGCCGGCCGGCGCGGTCTGCGGAGCTTCTATGGCCATTAAAGTTTCAATTGGGAACGCAAGAGAGGATTTTTAGGGATTTGGTGGGGGAGATGTGGTAGTGAGTGGGCAAGTGTGGTGTTTATATAGAGAGCGAGATGTGGATGGGAGCGTGGCCATGGCTGCAGATGGGAGGAAAGTGGGTGGCAGAAGTAAGCGATGACGGAGAAGAGGTCGGGTACCAAAAAGGGAAATTGGCAGCCCGTCAAATGTCCAAATACGGTCAACCGAAGCTGCGGGGCAAGTTAACGGCGGGGAGAAGAGAAACGACCTGGCTTGGCTTGGTTTCCGGCACGTGTTTATCGTGGATGGCGGTTCGCTATGCTCGTCTTCTTCGCGCTTTCTGGAGAACCCTTAAAAAATATTTTTTTTGGAAATTATGTAATTTTAGTATTTAATGGTAGTAAAATGCAACGTTTTTTAGGTAATATTTTCTTCATTATCGTAAAATATTAATAAGTAAAATTTAAATTACACATAAAAAATTTATTTCATTGGCAATCAATATCATATTTAAATGATATATTTCAAAATTGTTATTATAGGAAAATTTTACAGGGCCTGTCCAACCTTAATTTTTAGGGGGCATAAAATTATAAGTAATGTTGGTGTTGCCTCAAATTTGGCTCGACCCTTAGCTACAAGAAAACCGGTCAATAGCAACCAAAAAATAGAGGCAAAAAACAAAATTCTTTTTAGAATATAGGTAATTTTACTATTTAGCGGAGTAAAATGCAACTTTTTGTAGGTAATATTTTTTCATTATCGTAAAATTTTAATAAGTGAAATTCAAATGACACCTAAAAGTTTTTTGTCATTGGCAATCAATATGATATTTAAATGACTTGGACTACTGTAGGGTTTTTGCTCATAGATCATATTTTGTGAGTAATTGATATATGAAATTGATTAAATGGACACATTCTTTGGATGTGGAGGTTGAATCGCCTGTTATCCCCATCTGGATTTCATTTCATAACCTTCGGCCTCATCTGTTCGCTCTGCGTATTCTTCATGGTTTAGGTTTAATTTTTGATAAACCTTTGAAAACGGACAATGCGACATCTTTTGGTTCTCGTCCGTCTGTTGCTCGAGTTCTAGTTGAATTGGATGTATCCAAACATTATCCGGATAAAATTTGGATCGGTCCAGATTCCTCTGGTTATGTACAATCTGTGGTCTTTGAAGATTTTCTGGACTATTGTTCGCATTGTCTTGCTCTGGGTCATTCTAAGGTGGGTTGTAAGATTCTTCATCCTAATCTTGCTTCTGCTGCTTTGGTTAATCAGACTATTTCGGAGGAGGTGGCTGTCCATGGGGCTTTTCCTTCTAATTATGTGGTGGGTTTAGAGGGGGCAGATACTGTTGGCCGGGCGGCTATTGTTTTGCCTGTGCCTTCTATTTTATCCCCTGATCCTGTTGAAAATTGTGTTAGGCCTGCTTTGGGTATTCCTCCTTGTGTTCCAACTGATTTTGCTACTCCTGTTGATATTGGTGTGGAGCGTGTGGAGGCTAGTCTGGTTAATTATGTCTAATTGGACTCTGTTGTCAATTTGGTGGGTGGTGGGTGAGGCCCCTTCTCATATCTTTCCTCGGGTGTCTTTGAGTGATCCTGGTGCTGCGGATTGTGGCATAAATTTGAAACCCTCTGTGTCTTGTGCGGGTAGGTCTGTCACGAGTAATTCTCCTACTCATGCCGTGGACGTGCCTTGCACAGATGAATCTATTCCTGCCCCTGCTATTTTGGGTGAGTTCTGCTCAAATACACCTTTGGGTGTGGTGTGTGATGGCTCTGCTACTGCTGTTGTTTCTACCTCATCCCATAACCTTTTAGTTCCTAACTTTTTTGTTGAGGTTCCAGTTAATTTAATTGAACCTCAGGCAATGGTGTATCATGTGGGTGATAATTCTGGGGTGGATGTGAGGGTACATCTCGATTGGCTCCATTGTTCATCCGAATACGAGTCCGATTCCGCTTCCCCTTCGGAGTATTTTGGGGGTGATGTTCTTGGTAATGATCTTGCCTTGCTACGTGACCGATCGGTTTCTCATGGGAGGGCTTGTGAGAGGAGCAGACGGGGTAGGTAAGGGCTATGGGTTTTTTGTGGGCCCTTTGGTTTATTTTATTGGCTTGGATTTTGCTGGAAGAATCTTTCTGCTGATTCGTGGGAGCTACAATTTATATTTGCTATTGGTAATTGGTTTTGCCAGGCAATGATGTGGCTGGGGCTCTTCCTCTGTCAATAGCTAGTGGCAACCTTTGGTGATGGTCTCTTGCTTGGTTGGATGGCTGGTCGTTTGGGTTGGCTGCTTCACGTTTATTATCACCAAATTGGATGGTCTGAGCTTAGCTTTGGGGGAGCTAGAAGCCTCGACCAATTACTGAGCCCTTAGGATTGATTCTACCTTGTATTCTCTTTTGTTTTTTGTCATTTTGCTACATTGCTTCCTGTACTCCTTTTTTGATTTTAATAAAAAATTTTATTTTAAAAAATGATATTTAAATGACATATTTCAAAATTGTTATTATAGGGGTATTTATATAAACATAAGACTTTAAAGTTAGATTATCTACATTAATATTTAAAATTTATTATTTACTCATATATAACAATCAAATTTTTTTAGTAATATAGGAATATCACCATCTTTATCCGTGTGGATAACTTCTTTTCCTCTAACAAGACTATGTCACAACTTCAACTCTTTTTTATCGTAGAGGATTTTAGCTTTATATGCACCACTAATCTAATAGGAGAGAATATTACGTGTGGTCACTGAACTGTCTGGAGGCCAATCAGGATGAGCCACATCACCTGATACACAGTGGTACACAGTAATGATACACAATGTATTGGTGACATGATGCATCTTGATTGGCCTTTGAACAATGTCTGGTGACTACACTTAATATCGCATATGATGAAATATGTATTTTATAAGTTTTTGATAGAGTACCCTCTCATTTGCATTTATTATTGTTGCGGCTAGAATATACGTGGCGATAGAGTTAGAATACTATGTCTTAGCGTTGTATGGATATCCAACTCACATACAGAGAACACAAAATTTTTACGTGAAAAGCCCTAGAAAAAGGGAAAAATCATGGGGTCTGGCCCAGCTGAAAATGATTCTACTAAAACTTAAGTTGGTTACAATGGGTTGACTTGCCTCCAAGGATGATTAAATTATAAGTAACAACTGTACAACATAAGTCCGAGTGTTAGGTGATGGTCTAGCAAAACTTCAGGCTTCAGGTGGTGGTCTGGTAGAACTCTGGGCCTTAGGTGCTGGTCCGATGAAGGCGATGGCCTCACGGGGTTATCCGACGAAGGCGAGGGCCTTAGGTGGGGGTCCGGGGAAGGCGAGGTCCTCAGGTTGTGGTTCGGTGAAGTCGAGGGCCTCAGGTGGTGGTCCGGGGAAAGAGAGGGCCTCAAGTGGTGGTCCGACAAAGGCGAGGGCCACATGTGGTGGTCCAGCAAAGACGAGGGCCTCAGGTGGTGTTTCGACGAAAATGAGGGCCTCGGATGGTGTTCCGGCAAAGGCGAGGCCTCAGGTGGTAGTCCGATGAAGGCGAAGGCCTCTGGTGGTGGTTCGACAAAGGCGAGGGCCACAAGTGGTGGTCCAACGAAGGTGAGGGCCTCAAGTGGTGGTCCGGCAAAACTCTGACGGTGGTCCAGTGAAACTCCGACAGTGGTCCGACGAAACTACGGTAGTGGTCCGACGAAACTCCGGCGGTAGTCGAGGAGGAACTTCTTCTTTCTCATCCTTCTCTTCTTCCTTCTCTTCTCTTATTCTCTTCTTCTCTTCTTGCTTGGATCCTTTTTCAAGAGAAATGAGGGGTCTATTTATAGATTTCTGGAGTGGCATAACCCGTAAATAGGTGAGAGATCAAAGGTAAATGGAGAGTGGTTGGATGGACGGCTGATGTTGAATTACTTGATCATGGACCATTTGATGGACATTTGAATGTCTTAGTGATGTCAGATTTTGAAGATCTTAGGCTTGTTGGATTTGTCTCGTCGAGCCGCTCGATTCGAATATAAGCACATTATGTTTAGAAACTTTCTGGCAATCCAAATTGTGGTTTGAACCTTCTAACAGTGCTTCTAACCCTTAATTTGGACCCGTTTGGGCTCGGATTGGGTTGAATTTGGTGTCGTTGGGTTTGTATTCTTGAGATGCTCAGTTTGACTCTAAGTTTGCTGAAATCAGAGTTTGGATGGTCCCAATTTTAATTTTAGAAGTTTCTAACTTGATTTTGCATCGAGATTCGTGCCCGATCAAGATAATTTTTTGATGGCATATCAATTATATTATTGAGTAGAGCAAAATATAAAAGAAATTTAAAATAAAATATTTATGGATGAAAATAAATGAAGAAGTTTAGAAAAATCATAATATTTCATATTCTGACAACAAAAGTTCTTTTATATTCCTTTTTTTATTTTAATTTTTTTGGGATTTGGATCTCCCAAAGGAATTTAGTTTTTTTATTTTAAACTGCTTAAATCATTTTTGTTTGTCATCATAAAAAAGGGGAGATTATTATGAATCTAAATTTAGGATATATAATTTTGATGAAAGAAAATATTTTTGATACTTTTGCTTTTCTACGACTGTCTTATCTACTAACATTTTCAGGTCCAAAAGGTTAAGTGCAACTCAAGCCAGCTCAAGATTGAATAGATTAGGACTGAGTCAGTTTGTAAATTTTTACCTTTTCTTGAGTCAATTGTATTATTATGGGTCCTGATGCAAAGTAATCTTGCACACACACAGTCAAGGAAAAAATTCTGATTATTTTAGAATTTTCTATTTTTGATCACATCATCCGAAACGATCCAAAAATCATTATGGACAATCAGTTAAAAATAAAAACTCTAATTAGGGTATCCTGGTTAAGACAATCATCATTAAGCACATCATCCTGGACGTGTTATCATCGTCATGGATGATAGGCTCAAATAAAAAAGAATCAACCACCAAATCTGTTTAGGCATGTTTTATTTTTGGACATGTCCTAGACAATGGAGTGCAATTATGCCTAAATTACTCTGATAATTAAGGAAATCAATTAAGGTTTGATAATTTGATCATATCATCATCATAGCCGATTGCAGGATCGTCCGGGATGATCAGTTAAACAATCTTTAGTTCTTCTTGGACGAACCATAATCGGCCAGGCTCCATTTAAGGCAATGTTCTAGATGATATGTGATGTTTTGAACTAATCGTCTCGGACGATCGTGAGATCGACCAGGACGATCTAGTCAATTTTTAATCGTCCAGACATCCATTCAGGGCGATGTTCTGGATGATATGTGACATTTT